CCCCCCCTAGCTACATGCCTGCTTGGGAGTAAAATCATAGTCACGTTGCATATATTCACCATTGTTTCACAGATAGAAATCCAGGTCCACTTGTAACATCTCCATGCTCAAACCAAAGAGCAATACATAAGTATCTTAGCTGTTATAGTTTATTAATTTAATTGACAATTGACTAATGAGTGAAGAAAGAGGGTTAGCAAGCAACCCCAAAATTTGTTTAAAAGACAAACACATCCATCTGAAAATGTTTAATTTCACAAAAGAGCTAGCACCACCTAAATCAGATTGCATATCAACCTAAACAGTAATCAAAGCCTTTTGGGTGCTAGACCCATATTATTAGAGTCATCCTCCCAAATAAATCCATAGGGTAGAAGAGTTTGGCTCATTCCTACAAGGTGTAATGATGATATTCCCATCCTTTTTTTTAATACAAAAGATTTCTAGCAGCTGTGACCTGATAGAACTCTAAACCTTTCAGTAAAGAGACAGAACTGCAGGAAGGTGACAAAATTTCTGAGATAAGGGTTTTTTAAAAGATAGAATAGGCATAGCAATATCATTGCTTTTAAAAAATGATTATGGCTCATGTTGTCATACTGTTTTGTTACACAGTAGACTCCACTTCCCCACCTCCAGACACATTTGTGGCAGTTAATACAAGCTCCCCTCAAAAGTGGGGAAAAATCAATTTAAAAAAGCACTGCTTTTTAACTTGAAAGAAAACCTTTTTAGACTATTCCAGGTGACTCTATAGTTAATATCTAACAGACATTAATCACAGAATTGCACTGGAGGACCTAGAGATTCCTACAACCTGACCAGAAAGGCTAGGCAAAGCATTCCACTTTGCCTGGTTTCTGGTGAAGAAAGAGGGCGCAGTGGGGCAAATCTGGTCAATAGGGTCTGGAGAATAAGCCCTATGAGGAGCAGCTTAAAGAGCTGGGCATGTTTAGCCTGAAAAAGAGAAGGCAGAGAGGAGACATGATAACCATGTATAAATGCATGAGATGAAGTCATAGCAGGGAGGGAGCAAGCTTGTTTTCTGCTGCCCTGGAGATTAGGACGCGGAACAATGGCTTCAAACTACAAGAAAGGAGATTCCATTTGAACATTAGGAAGACCTTTCTGATTGTGAGAGCCATTCAGCAGTGGAACTCTCTGCGCCGGAGTGTGGTGGAGGCTCCTTCTTTGGAAGCTTTTAATCAGAGGCTGGATGGCCATCTGTCAGGGGTGCTTTGAATGCAATTTTTACTGCTTCTTGGCAAGGGGTTGGACTGGATGGCCCCTGAGGTCTCTTCCAACTCTATGATTCTATGATTCTATCTATGGCCCTGCACAGATCCCTCTCACAATGCCCTGTGCTGACTCCATTGGAGCTAGCACAACATGGGAAGCCTCCTGTGTTGGGTTAAAGTGTCCGGCAATGCTTTCACCTCAGTTGAGGGTGGGGCCTATGCTAGAAGTCACATGACATCATATGATGTCCAGTGTCTGCCTCCATTCCCCAGACGAGGTAAAAACATCCTAGGATGCTGATTTCACTCTGTCTGATGAGGTCGCTAGAGAATTGTGCTCCCTCGAATCCCTAGTTGCTCCTACTTGGTTTTATCATCAACTTCCAGTATTACCTGACCACAGAGTTGTCCTACAGGACCTGTAGAAATATCTTATTAATCAAACCTGAAAATAATCAAATTTGCAAACGTTAAACCCACAAATGTGAAAGGCCAGCTGCAATTATTATGAAATAATTTTAAAAGGAAATATTCAAATAAATCCCCTTTAAAACATAAGCATTGCATATAAACAAGAAAAGGCCTTGGATCTTACTAAATCTTTCTTATTTAATATAATAAACACTCTTGATACCCTTTCTATTTTTATGCAGAAAACAAAGGAATGAATTGTTAGCAGCTAGATTTGCAGATAACACAGATGTGCTGTGCTTTATATATTTCTGGCCTTTCTAAATGACAAAATGTTAAAAAGCTTTCCACTTCATTAATAAAGATCATTGGAGCATTTGTGCATGGACCAATGATGTGCTAACAGAAATTACGGCCCAGCAAAGTCTTTCGAAACCAGACTTAGAACAATGCACATTCATTATAAAAGCACAATGCATAGTCATTGTGCATCTGATTAAATAGGCAGAATACATTTCTGGATTTGGCTTTTGGATTCTTTCAAGTTGTCAGGGAAAGGCATTACTGTAATGGCATTCACACAAGTTTGTAGATATTGACATTTTGCTCACACATACACACTTGCAACTTAATGACAGTAGTCACCATAAAGTAATGCTCCACAAAATGCAAAAGGGCCATCACAGATAGAACCATGCTATATGGTTAATCTATTCTCCCAGTAATGTCTACAATGTATGGAGAAAGTACCATTTGACTATAATATCCAGAATCCCTTCTGGATTTTGAGCAGTCTTTTAGGTACAGTTCTTTATGACAATGAACTTATGCATGCTCCAGCCACAATCATTCATAAAGTTTCCTGATGTTATTGGACTGGTGAGGACATGAGGAAGGTGACATATTCCAGAGTCAGTTTTCATTTAGATATCATAAATATGCATGGCAAGTGGTTGGGAGGTACTCTTCACAGACTCTCTGGGCCTCCATGAACTGTGGGCACATCTACACTGATCACTTAGGTTGGTGTGAGAGTGGATCCATCTCTTGTGTGCTTAAATTCCTCACAAGAGGTAATTCAGATTAACCCAGGGAAAACCCAAGTCTTTAGGCAGGATCCAGATTGTCCCCTAACTTAAGATCTCAACTGCACTGGCCACAGCTATCTTGATAGTCATCCTGTGCCCCCCAGGCAGTCCAGGGACACTCCCTCCCAGCTGACTTAGACTGGATCTACACTGCCCTATATCCCAGGATCTGATTCTAGATTTTCTGATTATCCCAGTGTAGATTCATATAATCCAGTTTAAAACAAATAAATTGGGATCGGTTCCTGGGATAAAGGGCAGTGTAGAAGAGGCCTTAGCGACTGACCCAAGAGCAAGGTAAATGGGGTACTGTGGCTGTCGCCAACTACAAACAGTTCAGCACCCTGGGAGTGGGACTTCCTGCCACTTTGGAGGAGGCTTAAGGGGGTCTCTAATGAACATGGTTTTCTCGTCAGTGTAGAACCAGCCTGAGTCACTGGTTGACGGAGTTAGAAAATTATTGAGACCAACACACTAAATCAACCCTAACATTCTATGTAAGGCAGTGGTTTTCAACCTGGGGTCCCCAGATGTTTTTGGTCTTCAATTCCCAGAAATCCTAACTGCTGGTAAACTGACTGGCAGCTGTTGGCCAAAAATATCTGGGGACCCCAGGTTGAGAACCACTGATGTAAGTTTTGCCATATTTTTTAGTTGTGATGGAGATCGCGAACCTTTGGCCTTTTCCAAGTTGGGGATAAGACCTCAACAATTTCTTCCCTTTGGTCATGCTGATGGAAGTTGTAGGACAAAACATCTAAAAGGGCCAAAATTCCCCAACCCTTCTCTACAAAGCACAGTGTTTGAAGGATTTTGAAAGGATAACCAATGACCGGAAGGTGTATTTTATTTGAAAGACCATGAAGTCCAAGTCCACCCTGAAGGGTAAATCTATTATGTCCGTTCATGTTTAAGTGTCCCTTTGTAATCTTTAAACATCAACGGACTTAGCATATTCCCCATTGCAGTGCTATGCAAATCATAACTGTTATTTTAAATTGCTTCTAGGTGCATTTTGTCCCAAGCTGTGCTCTCTTTTGATGCTTTCTTTACAGCAATGCACCAAAAGAATCCACCTCTAGTTGGTGCTCTAGCCTCCTTCTAAACAGATGAGCCTGGAACCTCAACTGTGTCACCAACTGTCAGTGACCTGAAGGGACTGCCATAACATCCCACATATCCCTAATAAATTGTACTTTCTGTGTGGTTTTAATCGTAAGCTGCTTTGAGA